TAGTAAATTGTAATAGGTTGTTCTGGTTAAACAAAGAGTATCAGCAAGCGGTAAGATTATGGGAGATAGGGAGAGAGTTAGGGTTCTCGTGTGACGGGGATAATAATTCGGTGGTAATTAAACTGAAGGAGATAGATGAGGAGGGGAGAGACAATGATAGATGAAGGTATTAAGCATAAATGATAGAGGTATTAGGAGCCTTGAGAAAATAAAATATATTAGGGAAGTGATAAATAAGGAAGGGATAAAGATGGTGTGTATACAAGAGACGAAATTAGCTAGACATATGGAACCATAATAACATTCAATGGGCATTTAAACAGGCAGAGAATGGGGTAGGAGGAAGTACTTGGGATAAGGATAATTTTGAGTGTGAAAATATGATTATTGGAAAAGGGTTTATAGCAGTAGCAGGAAACTTCAAGAGAAAGAACGTAAAATTGGCGGTGGTAAATGTATACTTTTCTTGCTTAGTAAAGGAAAAATATAAATTGTGGGATGACATACATCAGGGCATTCAAAGTCTGTCATGCAAGATTTTTTCGTGATAAGGGATTTCAATTCCATCAAAAAACCTAAAGAGAGAAAAGGAAGTAGTAAAAGAGGTAGAGTAACGGAAGAAATGAGAAGATTTAATGAATTCATTCAAAACCTAGAGGCACGAGATTTACCAGTTGTTGGAAGGAAGTTCACATGGCATAGAACTGATGGATCTTCAATGAGTAGGTTGGACAGATCCTTGGTATCTATGGAATGGATCCGTGTGTGGAAAGGGAGCAAGCAATTTATATTAGATAGGAGCATCTCAGATCATTGTGCGGTAGTAGTTAAAGAAAATAATATAGACTGGGGACCCAAACCCTTTAAACCTCTGGATGTATGGCATGACGAAAAGAGGTTTAGGGAGGAGGTTAAAGGGGCTTGGGATGGAACGAAACTCATAGGTTGGGGAATTAAAAGCTAGTCTAAGAAGTTACAAATGCTTAAAAATCATCTGAAAAGATGGAATAGAGAATCGTTTGGGAATTTGAATTTGGCAAAACAAAGTGTGATTAATAAGATAAGTGAGATGGACCATAAAGATGAACTAAATCAGTTGGATGAAGAAGGAAAGAATAATATGCCTAATAGAATTGAGAAAAACAATGTTGAAGATTGCATCTATGGAGAAGCAGAAGATAAAAGATAAGTGGATAAAGGAAGGGGATGTAAATTCAAAATTTTTCCATTCTATGATTAGTTGGAAAAGAAGCAAGGTAGAGTTACCATGGATTATGATTAGAGGGGCTTGGTGTCAGGAACCAGTAAGAGTAAAAGAAGAGGTTATGAAACATTTTAAAAGAAGATTCAAATGAGATACAAGATTGGGAGTTAAACTAGAAGGGATTTAATTTGAAGGAATAACAGATGTACAAAATGAGGCACTGGTTAGAGAAATTTCAGAGGAAGAAATAAGGGAGGCAGTTTGGAGCTACGAAAGCAGTAAAAATCCGGGGTCGGATGATTTTAATTTTTGCTTCATAAAACATAATTGGTCTACTCTGAAGGTGGACATACTTAAAGCTATTGAAGAATTTCAGAGGGAGGGTAATATTCCAAAAGGATGCAATGCCTCTTTCATTTCACTCACTCCAAAAGTTGAAATTCCTGTGGACTTGGATGAATATAGGCATATATCTCTGATAGTTAGCCTGTATAAGATCTTAGCAAAGGTCTTAGCTGGTCGCTTGAAAGAAATGCTAAATACGGTAATAAACTTCTGTCAATGCCTTTTTGGAAGGTAGAGGTCTCTTGGATTGCGTTGTGGTGGCGAACGAGGTTATACATGAGTACAAGAGTAAAAGGAAGAAAGGTTTGATACTCAAGCTAGATTATGAAAAAGCTTACGACTCGGTGGATTGGGAATTCCTCTTTTATTTGTTAGAGAAACTTGGGTTTTGTAGGAAATGGGTGTGGTGGATTAAAGGATGTTTAAAATCTGCTTCCATATCAGTACTTGTGAACGGTAGTCCAACAAAAGAGTTTCTCCCTCAAAAAGGATTAAGACAGGGAGATCATTTGACCCCGTTCCTTTTCATAGTGGTAGTTGAAGGGTTAGCTGGGGTGGTAAGACAAGTAGTGACAAAAGGAAAGCTACAAGGAGTGAGAGTAGGGGAAAAGGAACTTCAGGTTAATCTCCTACAGTTTGCAGATGACACTTTGTTTTTAAGCGATGCAAACCCCAATAACATTACGGTTATTAAAGAAATCTTGAGATGCTTCCGGTTAGCATCGAGATTGAAGATCAATTTAAGAAAGACAAAATTAGGAGGAATAGGGGTATAGTCTGATTTACTGGAAATCTATGCACGGGAATTAGGTTGTAAGACAATGATATTTCCATTTAGATATCTGGGGTTTAAAATTGAAGGTAGCCACAAAAGGCATGAGTTTTAGAATGATTTCCTAAGTAAAATAAAGAAAAGACTTTCTAGGTGGAGAGGTAGAATGTTTTCTTTTGCAGGGAGGGTATGTCTAGGAAAATCGGTTCTTTTTACAGTACCATTATTTTACTTATCGATGTTCAAATTGTCGGTTAGAGTGATAAAAGAGATAACAAATCTCCAAAGGGAGTTCGTGTGGGGCTGGGGAAAAGAAGGGAAAAAGATAGCGTGGGTAAAATGACATAATATTTGTAGAAGAAAGGAAGATGGTGGGTTAGGGGTGAAGGACATTCAGAGGTTTAACGACTCCTTGCTAGCAAAATGGAAATGAAGGCTAGGAGTCGAGTCAAAAGGATTATGGAAGGAAGTAGTGGAAGCCAAATATGGGTTTTGGAGAGCACTAGACGAATCAGAAAACATTAATAAGGACTCAAAATGGTGGCAAAGCTTGGTTGGATAAACATGTGACATGGAAGATAGAAAACGAGGAGAAAATTAGGTTTTGGGACGATGTGTGGATTGGGGAACAAAGCTTAGGTAGCTTGTTCCCAAGGTTAAAGAAAATAGGACTAAGTAAAGATGCGGTGTTATCAGAACATGGCGAGTAGATTGAAAATAGATGGGAATGGAGAGTAAGTTGGAGAAGACAAATTTTTGAATGAGAGAAAGAAATAGAGGAGGAAATGCTAAGCAAGATTTATGGCATAACCCTTAATAGGGATATAGAAGATATGTGGTTGTGGGGAGAAAATAATAACAAAGGATTCTCCGTAAAAGAAGCGTATGAGACTCTATCCAAAGTAACTTGCAACGAGAACGAAACGATCTTTAAATGGTATTGGAAAATTAAAGTGGTACCAAAAACCATGGTCACAGGGTGGAGAATTCTTCAGGATAGGATCCCTACTAAGGTGAACTTAGTTAGGAGAGGGGTTGTTGTAAGTGATTCAAAATGCGTTGTGTGTGGAATTGAAGACGAAATAGCCAATCATCTCTTTTTCATATGTAAGGTGACTAGTGAAATTTGGGACAAGTGCTTTAGATGGGTGGGAATTAGTTTTGTTAGTCACTGCGAGGCGAAAGCAAGCCTAGAAAGCTTTGTAGTAGGTTGTTTGGGAGCAAAGGGAAATATGTTGTGGTAAAGACTCTAGGTAGCGGTGGTATATGAAATCTGGTTTCAAAAGAACAAATGTATCTTCAAAAATGATAATTTTAATGTGGAAGTAAGATTCAATAAAGCGAGTTCCAGATTCATAACTTGGTATGCTAGAGACTGGGATGGAGCGAGCATAGCAAATTTTGATTGGTTTTATGAACCAGTAAGATGTCTGAGGTTAATTACTCTATAGCTCTTCACTTGTCTTTACTAGCTAGTATACGTTTTAGCAGATTAATGAAGGAAAGTCTATTACAAAGACGAGAATCCTTACAAGTAGACGGAGGGTGGAAGCATCCGAGGTTTATATGGCTTGATTATGGTCCTTGTTGTAATATATATTATCGTGCTCGAGAGAAACGAAGACCTGCTATAATCTATATTACTGTGGAGCCCTTGTCTTGTTCTGAGTCATGAATCAGAAGTTGTTGCACCCTTATCTCTCCAGAGGCTTAGGAGTTTTTCAGCTTTGATTATTTCACCCCTTTTGATTAGTATGTTAAGGTGCTCAATTCTTAATGCGAGCCAATTGGTATTGGTCTATGCAGAAGAAATTCAAAGAATTTTATAAATATTAGTTGATCCTATATGGGAGGTTTGTTGGTTTCGAAGAAAACTTAAATCTTGGGGCGACATACTATTTGGGTACTCTTTGATGGAGGTTATTTTTTGAGATTTATATGTATTCTCTCGCTGTATCTTGAGACTTGTCAAGTGTAAATTTTATCTTTGTTATGTTGGAATTGCTTCTGAAGCTATTTTCTTTCTGCCATGTTGGTGTTCTTGGACTTTTGTGATTTGCCCAACTGTTTTCCTTGTAGGCTAGTTTGGGATTCAGCAGGTTATTTTGTTTTCTTTCATATAGCTTCTTCTGATGTATATGGGTTGAAGTACCCCCTGTACTTCTTTTAATTTTATTCGTTGATGTCGATAAAAAAAAGTGTAAAATTTGGTCTTAAATCCTTCAAGAAATTTCATATAAATATCATTTCTAGAAAACCATACATAAGTTGTAAGAATATCATTAAAAAAAAATTGAATCATTAACATACAAATAAATTATTTAAATATCTTAAAGTATTTGTACGGTTATTTAGAAACCAATCATCGTAACAAATTGTAAAATTACTAACATAAATTTAACAACAAAATTAAATCTATTAATAAATTTTTATTATCGACGGATAAATCCATTAATAATTTCAAAAGCCAATAAAAAAAATTCATTGAAAAATTCATTAGAAAAATTTCATGTCATTTTGTGAAATTCTTTAGTGATATTGATAAATTGTGAGTAATATTAACAAAAACTAATAAATTCATTGATAAATTGTGAGGTGGTGGTGAGGTGAGGAAAATTGGTGGTGGAGTTACAAGGTAGAAAGGTTATGCAACTACATAAATAAATTGTGATTGGATAGAGTGAGAAGCACCAGTGGCATTGACTTAAGGTTAAATGTGTACTGGCAAATGGAATCACGAGAGGAGCAAAAACAAGTCACAAAAATAACAACACCAATTCAAGTCGTAGTGACAAGCAAAAAAATGTAACAACAACATCAAATCAAGTGGTCGAGGTAGTAGCGGTACCAAATCAAGCGACAAAGGGAAAATGACATTGAATCAAGCCACACAGAGATAACAACAATATCTAATTGAATCAGAGAGACACTTACACCGAATCCTGTCGCGGAAGGAGCAACGACTTGAATCGAAAATGCATAAACAATATGATTAAGGATGAAGAGTGAATCATAGAGTGACTAGACACTAACAATGTGGTTAACATAAGTAGAAGAACAACAATGAAAGGAAATAATAGAATGAAAAGAGATAATAAAGAGTGAACCAAGTCGTGAAGGCCAAAGGGGTGAGAAATATATTAGGGTTTGGGGGCATTGGGAAACATTTTAGGATTTGCAAGAAAAAAAGTGCAAAAGGCAAGATAACAAATAAATTTGAGAAAAATTATAACTCATTTAAATGAAAGATTTACATATAATGATAAAATTATTTAATTTGAGATACTAAAATTAAAATATAAATATATTAATAAATATTACAAAATAAATCACATGTTTATAATATAATTTATATTATTAATATATTATGATTATTGATTAATATTTCAATATTCAAATTCAAATATATTAATTAATGATTAAATATTAAAATTAATATTATGATTTATTTTTATTTAAAACTTCGTTTCAATTCAGTTTCAGTGTATATTAAAATTCAAATTTTAAATTCACAAATACATTAAATTATTAGTATTGATATAATCAAATTTAAAAATTAAATTATCATTTAATTATATTTATAATAATGATTTGAATAAAATAAGTATATTAATAAATAATTAGGTATTTTATTATTTAATGTTTATTTTAATTAGTAATTGAAAGAAAGTAATGTAATAAAAATACAATCAATTAATTCCAAAAAAATGAATTATTAATATTAATTATTAGATTTATATATAAATAGAATTAAATTCTATTTTTAAATTCTCCTAAAAAGGCAAAAAATAGATATTATTAATTTAATAATTAATAATTTAATATTTATTAATTTAAATATTATATAAATAAAATGTATATTAATTAATTAATTAAATATTAGATTAATATTTATTAATTAAATAAATAAATTATTATAATTTATTATTGAAATAAATAATACAATAATATTTATTATATAAATAATTTATATAGTACTACTTATCCATTACTAAAATTATAGATTAATATTTATTTATTAAATAATGCATACTTTAATATATATTTATTGAATAATTATTATAGAAATAATTTTTCATTAAATAATTAATACCTTTTTTATTCATACTTTAATACATATATCATATTATATATATATATATATATATATATATATATATATATTAATATTATAGTGTATTTTTTTCATTATTTAATAAGAAGGATTATGCATATATATAAACTATTTGGATAAATATTAATATATTAATGTTATAGAGGATGTATTGGATTTATTAAATGGAGGAAAAAGTATTAGGTTTGCGGTGATAAATAAAAATTAAGCATGAATAATAAATAAATAATAATTTTATATATATATATATATATATATATATATATATATATATATATATATATATATATTATAATCTCAACTTAAAGCTTTTCATAGTCAAATAAACTTTTTGATGAGTGTAATCTTTATATTTTGATGAAAAATTGTTACAATTCTATATAAATAATTTGACTTCTAAGAATAAGAATTCAATTATTTGAAAATGGCTGAACTTTATTTTATACAAATTATATAATTTATTTTCCTTAATTATGAATTAGATATAAAATAATTTAAAAATTCAATTATTTGAAAATGATTGAACTTTAATTTATACAAATTATGTAATTTATTTTCCTTAATTATTAAATTAAATATCAAATAATTTGAGAGTTCAATTATTTGAAAATGGTTGAACTTTAATTTATACAAATTATGTAATTTATTTTCCTTAATTATAAATTAGATTTCAAAGTATATATGATTCATGTTTTGATATTTAATATCATATTTATTATGTGAGATCATAATTTTTAGTCTTTATGAGTTATTTTTTATCAAGTAAATCTTTACTGTTTGTTTTTCATAAATTGAAACATTTTTCATCTTCCTTATTTCATAAAAAAATAATTTTAAACTTTTACAACTCCTTACACTTTTTTATTTTGTAGCATTCTTTTTTACAATTTTTACATTTTCTTTTTTCGAAACATCCAACTAAAAAAAGAAGTTTAACATAATTAATTATTATATATATTATACCCAAAATTAATAATAATATAAAATTATAAAATTATATATATATATATATATATATATATATATAATTAGACTTAAAAATTAATAAATTCACTAAATTTTATAAATTGTATTACTTAATTATTAAAAAATTTAATATTATCGAAGATTATCTTTTTTATATTATTAATGAATTTATTGATATTATCGATGAAATTTTTTGTTACATTATTATTAACAAAAATTTTAATGGATTATTTTCCTTAAAATGATACTAAAAAGTATTACACTTATTGTAAGATAAGTTTTCATAATATTGATACTAACTTCTTAAGTTTGTCCATATTTTTATATTATATTTCTACTTTTACATATGAAGGTTTAATGGACACCACATCATGAAGAACAAATTAAGAAAATTTTTAACATTAAAGCATCTCACATACCCCAAAATTGTAAAGGAAAAGTCGGAATGAATGTTTGGAACAACTAATCTTTTTTATAATATAAAGAGTTTGAGACAAGACTTTCATATGTTATATTTGAGGTAGGATCATGTGCTGAAGCAGGACACACAATTGTTGTTGACCTTACACAAGACGAGATTATCAAGATTCGATATTAGGTCAAAGCAATTAGTGGAAAAAGTAAAGTAAGTCTTTACAGAACTAAACAACTTGCTTAGAATTACAGAGGTGTGAATGATAGCTCGAAGCAACAAGTATCCAACACCTCATATGAATTGAGGACATGAATCGACTCAGACAAAGAGTTTCTACAAGTAAGGAGGATAATCGGTGCACAAAGGAGACAAATGAGCGATTGACTCATTAGTTTGAGTAATTTCAATCTTTATTTGATACAATTATGTAGTTCCTCCCTTATGATGCTCAAAATCTTCTTCAACAACATCATATTCTCTAGTAGAATCAATAACATGTTCCCCAATAACAAGAAGATGATTTTGAATAACAACAACATGTCTCCCAACAAGAGGGTGACAACTGACAATCACAAAATGATAGTGATTAACAAGAGAATAAATCACAACAACCACATTTATCTCCAAACTATTCAAATTATTAGTAGTTGATTACTATAGAAACTTATTATGTTCTTAAACTCATTGTATTCCAAAAATTGATCATGTTACCTAAACATATAAATTCATTAATATATCAATTTTTCCTAGTTTAGCTATTGGTGAATTTAATGATTTATGTAAATATGTGTTAGGCCTATCGTTGTTGTTATACAAGCTAGTTGTAGATTGTTTGATTGACTTATATTGATCTTTTGGTAAGTCTAGACGTGGATTGTATAATTGAATTATAATGGTAAGACATAAATGATTCTAACAACAAGTAAAGCATTTATTGATGATATATGGTATGTTGGTAAAGATGTTAAGAGCTTTCTCACGTTCATATTTATTAATGGACACATCCACCAGTAATTATTGACAGAGACATCCATCTATGAGCAAAGATGTTCATAAGTTCTCATAAGGGTATTTATTGATAGATATTTCACTGTTAGAAATTTCTCTTAACCGATGAATATTTCTATTATCGACAACTTTTGTTGTTGACAAAACCTAATTTTCTTGTAGTGATTAAGATTGTTTGATTGACTTTCTCAATTTGCATCACAAATAGATTTTTAGGTTTGTGTAATTGCTTCTCTTAAAAATTGAATTGTAATTTTATGATCAATTGAATACGAGGAATCCATATGATCTAATTAATTGGATTATGAATGTTTAAAATCCCTATAAATCTATTTTGTGATTATATTTAGATTTAGAAATCAATGATAATCAAATAAACAAGTTGATGATTAAAGAATCAACAATTGCATTTTATAGTTTTTCTTTCAAATTTACTTGTACAAATGTTGATTCAATTATTTTTTTATCTTGTAGTGATTAGATTTACTATTTTAATTATAATTTAGGTTTATTGTTTTCCTTTACTATTTTTTATCACAGAACACATAAAATTTTCCTTTCCTAACTCTTTACAAGTGAGAATTAAATCTAAAACAAGTTATAAAACTCATTGAGAATATAATCTAGATTTTTCCTATTTAGTGTATTATTATTCTTTTATTGATTGTTTGCTCACATTTAGACAACAAAATGTACTATGATAACTTAATACGTTAAAGTATTCGTATTGATAATATGTTATAAAATAAAACCTCAAAACTTATATAGAAAAAAGAAATATTCATATTTTTTTGTATTTCATTAAATGAGATATCGCTATAGATAAAAAATAAAAGCTCAAAATAACTTAAAAGAATATAAATATTTAAATAGAATAAATCAATCAATAACTAATGATTTATAACATTTTTCAATATATTTCCTTTTCTTTAATTTTTGATATATTTAATCCTACTCGTGTTGAGATACGTGCCTTATTTTATGGAGAGTAATAAATATTCACCACCACTTAATCATTTACTATCTCTTTTAGTGGAACGGTGTTTCATAATATTAGAGTTAAAATTTATTTCGAATTTTTGTAAGTCAACATGGTGTGTGCAGATACTTTGAAACTAGATGAATTTGCTTCGTTAGAATTTAAGTGTGTTAAAAATTTATTTTGAATAGAATAATAAAGCGAAATAATATTTAAATAAAAAAAGTCTTGAGATTTTAAATTGAAAAGTAAAATCATTTTCTTTTAATTACCTTATATTATATATTGATCAAGTCCTAAAAAAACTCAAATATAACTATTATAATATATATATATATATATATATATATATATATATAATTTCTTCATTATTATTAACTATTTATTTAACAATTAAATGTTCTGGTTTTTTAAGAATATTTTTAAAGGGAGTTGTTATTAAGAGTTATTTAGGAATAAAAGTGAGTATTTTATCGTAAATCCTATATTTGAGTTGTTTAAAAGTAGAAAAATTACTTAAAATTAAAAGAAAAATTATTTATATAAGTAATTCTGATAAAATTTTAAATAACTCAACCATAAAACCCTTCATAAAATATTTAATTTTATTTTTAAGTAATTCTTGTTAAAAATTTCTTTTAAAATGTTTCCAGTGTATACTGCATGCATATCTTCACACGCTCAGGTACATGACACTTCTCTTGTGCATGAAATGGTCAAGCCGATGCCATTAATGTATAATCCATGTCATTGCATGTTTGTTGGCATCAAGAGAACATAAACGTTTGGTGGAGATTTTGCAAATCATGCTACCTATATTCCTTTTGGTTTGGGTATGTTTTTTATGATTATTATTTGGGTAAAATATTTTTGGACACTTTGAATTACAAATAATATCAGATATTCTAAGTCGATATTATAAATGAGTGGGAACAATTTACTTTTTTAAGTTAAATGATATATTTGTATAGTTTATTTTTTCAAGTTAAACTATATATTTATGCATTTTTAATTAGACACAAATTTATCATAAAATAATGACAAATAAATTTAAATATATAAGACTAAAGATATAAAAAAATATCTAGTAACAATTTGAGTAAAACCAAGAAATCTACCTGTATATGCGTCACTTGCTACAAACAAAGTGTAAGATTGTTGGAGACAAAGTTAGCTTTATCCAAATGATCACAATATGTCACCTAAAAATAAAATAGTTTATTGGTATATAAATTATTACATATTCAAAATTTCATGAATTTATTGCCAATGGTATGCATTATTACTTCTCCTTTCTTCACTGTCATACCAACTGTGACAATAGCCAGAAAAACAGAATAAAGTGCTAAGTGCTGTTCTTCTAAAGTGGAGGTGCAAATTAAGTCAACTGCAGGTATTATAAGAGTTAAGATTTTGATGAAACCACCAACTTGCAACTGAATATGTTCGTTTTGACATTCATCAATTTGTTATACCAAGGCCCACTATGTTTTGTCTTGTAGTATACATTTTCAAGTATCATTTCCTAACATAAAAAGTTTCAAATTATTTTTTTAATATTATAATAATATGATAATTTTCATCTTTAAAATGTTTCTTTTTTTAAATGATATAATATAAAAATATTCATATATGTCACTTATTTAAAACAACTCATATTTATAAAAAAAATCTAAATAAAATGCTCTTAAATACTAAAAATGACATTTCTAAGTTGTTAATGATAAAAATCATAATAAACTTTCATAACTACTAAAACTAAAACTAAAATTAAAATAAATAAATAATTTTTATTCCAATATCAAACTTAGTTTGAATATCACATAAAATATAAAAGAAACTTAATATTATTTCCTAATTCTAATAAAAAAAATACAAATAAACTATTAAAAAATATACCTCACGCATTTTTACAAACATACTTAAGAAAACTATGATACAACTAAATGCACGCAAATTAACATGCAGTGACAAATTAACAATTACAAAGTCACTAAATTGATTCTTATTTTTAAATATATGTGGTTCCATTGCATAAACATGAGATATTTTAGGAATACATACACAAATCATACTAAAGTAATTTTGTGTCTACTTTCAACTATATCAAAATCAAATTGAGTAAATGACAATGTTGGAGTTTATCATATTTGTCATCCATCCTATTAGAAAAAGATATATTTTTTATTAAAATCATTTCGATACTGAAGTTTTAGATAATTTAAGAGTCAAAATTAAAGGTAGTTTAAATACATTATCTTTTCTTAGTCTACCAAAACTTATTTTAATGATAAAATTGTGATAGACAAGAGCTCAAAAGAGGATAAAACCTTAGATTTGAGAATTAATTTTAACGATGTTATCAAGATATTCTTATTTCTAGATAGAACATTGATGAAAAAAATAAAAATAAAGTATGTACACAAATATATGATAATCCAATATATCATTAATTATCATGGTAAGATATATAATCTCGTAAATATACATATTATAAGGTTTATACACAAAAATTCAACATTTTATCTTTAAAGCTTTAGCTGTTATCTTTATTATTTTTTTACGATATTTGTTAATGTAAAAATGATATTTAAATTTATTCTAACTATATCAAATTATTTCTCATATTGTTTAAAAGTTAATATAGTTCTCAATAATTTGTATCTTCGCCTCAAGATCTAATTCAATATTTTATTATACCTAAAATGAGGAAAAACATACTTTTATATTAATCCTACACCAAAACTTTTAATACTCACAACTTAAATTTTATATTTTATTTAAATTAATTTCATTAGTTTAGTAATATATAGAACTATAACTTTTTAGAAGATAATAGTTTTAAAATATGTTTAAAAATGGATCGTAATTTTCAAAAGTAAAATACACTTTTTAGTACCCTCACTCTCTTATGGTGGAGTCACGTCCTTTTTCTATAAACCTATGAGACAATCTCGCTTCCAACATACCTCTAACACCCTTATGAGAATAGCCACACTCTTATGGCATGTACAAAAATTATTGTTACGATTAAAAATTTTATTACATATTTTTGAATTTTATTTTCAATGTATTGCAATTTTTATTCTTATTTGAATTATATAAATTTAAACACCAACTACAACAACTTCCTAGTAGGATGAAAGAGTATATGATATAATATGTCTTAAGGATTATATATTGCTTATTACATTAACTTATGATTATCTTAATCGTAGTTTAATCATATGAACTTCCTATATTATCATTCTATCTTTAATCTCACCACCAAAAAGACAACCTTAAAAAAAGTAAATTTTTTGCATAGGTTCAATTAACATTGTTTCTATTTTGAGCAAAAATAATTTATTTTACTAACAATTGTTGAGTATTATGTCAAAGTTAGAAAAACAATTTTTTCTTTTTTCTGTTTCTGTTATGCGTTACCTGTTGTTACCTATATAAACAACAACCCTGTATTTTAGATTATGATGTAACGTGAATACATTTTGTCTGCTTAGTATTTTTCTTATGTGCATATATGCTCTCTGATCTAATATAGTATCTAGAGTAAGGTTTCATTGAAAGAATTAAGGAGATTTGGTGAGGTCAGTTTCTCGTGAGGTGGTAATTTTTTTTTGGAGCATCAGACCAAGAGGTTCAAGAAGTGTGTCAGATAGGAGGTAAATCCAGACGTGAGAGTTGATTCTTGTATTATCAAGAAAGTGCAAAGAAGAATCTGGTTGGTGGTGCTAACAAGAAAGTTGCGGGAACATGACTGGAATGGGGAGCATTATACAAGGAGGGTTGTTGGTATTTGATGGCAAGATGTTTGGCGAGTGGGAAATCAAGATGATGACAGTGTTTAGTTTCCAAGATGTTGTAGAGATTGTACAGGAAGGTATAATAGAATTTGACAGTAAAGTTACAAAAGAAGAGAAAAAGTTTTTTAAGCAGCAGCAAAAGTTGGACAACAAAGTTAGATTTTTGTTATATCAATGTGTAAATTCAAAGATATTCAACAAGATATGCAAGGCTAAAACAACCAAGGAGATATGGGAGATCTTGCTGAAAACTTACGGTGATGGGGACAAACACAAGAAGGTGAAATTACAGGAACTAAGAAGGAGATTTGAGTTTCTTCTTATGGAAGAGAATGAATATGTTGCAGATTATTTTGACAAGATTCAAGAGTTGGTGAATGCTATGAAGACATGCAATGATCCTATTACTGAGCAGCAAGTGGTTCACAAAATTCTACGATCACTTCCGTCCAAGTTTGATCACATGGTGATAACGATAGAAGAGACTAAAGACTTAGAAACACTAAGGATAAAGGAGCTTCAACACTCGTTAGAAGCACATGAATACAAAATTTATGAAAGAAAAGTGATACATGAGCAGGTGTTACAAGTCAGAACAGGTTACAAGGGAAAGTTTAAAGGAGAAAAGAAAGATCGAAAACAGTGGAATGGAAGCAAGAATCAGGAAGAAACTGAAGATTCTAGAAAAGAAAAGAGTGGCAGAGAAGGGGAGTCTAATGGGGACAAAACCTGGAAGTTTGATAAACGAAAGGTTCGGTGCCATAACTGTCAGAAGCTGGGTCACTTTGCCCGTGAATGCTGGCACAAAGAAGGTGCGAAAACCAAGCCCAAGAATAAAGCCAATTTTACACAAGATGAAAGATCTGATTTTGAAGCAGTAATGTTGATGACCTAGACGTGTTCAGATCTGAAAGAAGAAGTTGCTTGGTACTTAGACTAAGGCTGTTCAACTTGTATGACTGGGAGAAAAGATTGGTTTGTGAAAATGAAAGAAGCTGCTCATGGAAAGATACGATTTGCTGATAATAGTAGCTTAACAACACAAGGAATTGGAAGAGTGGTTATGAGAAATGACGAAGGTAGAGAAGTCATTATGGAAGACGTGCTATATGTTCCAGACCTAAGGAAAAATATGATCGGTCAAATAAACTCATCATTCAGACTAATTTGTCACAAAAATGAATGCTTAGAGTGGGAATGAATGCTTTGAAGCATCACTACTTTGCTATTGCAGAAAGCAGAACAGAATGGATATGGCATCATAGATATGACCACCTGAATTTCAGAGACTTGTGTCAACTTGAGCAAAAGAAAATGGTGGTAGGTTTACCTCGAATAGAAGCTCCTGATGAAGTTTGCAAGGAGTGCATTCAGTGTAAACACACCAGAAACAACTTCAACAAATTCATATCTCAAAAGGCAGTGGAGAAGTTGGGAGTCGTGCACACTGATATCTATGAGCCAATTTAGGTTGAAACCCATGGAGGCAGCAAATATTTTCTTACTTTTATACATGATTTGACCAGAAAAATGTGGACATTTTTGCTCAAGAGGAAGAAGGAAGCACTGGAAACATTTAAGAAGTTTAAGTGTCTGGTTGAAAGGCAAAGTGGGCTACAATTAAAGATACTCCGAAGTGATGGTGGGGGAGAGTATACCTCACAAGAGTTTCATGAATTTTGTGAGAATACTGGAATCGTGCAGGAAGTCACACCCCTTATACACTTCAGCATAATGGCACTGTTGAGAGGAGAAACAGAACACTGCTTAACATGGTTAGGTGCATGCTGAAAAGAAAAAATCTACCAAGTTACCTGTGGGGTGAGGTAGTTATGACTGTTAGAAAAGTAGTTTTAGATCAAGAGGGGGGGGGGTGAATTGATATTTGAAAGATTTTCGTAATTAACAGATTATCTATTTGTAAAAATAAGATTTCATATCTGTTCTTGAATCACAAAGCAATCAATCAATAATAAACGCAGCAACAAAATTAAAAGAGCAGAAAGGTTTAGAAAGATATCACCGGTGTTTATACTGGTTCACCCAATACCAGGGCTACGTCCAGTCTCCAGCCAAATTCCAGTTGGGTTCCACTAGATCAAATGTTTTACAGATTACAATCTTACACTTAATCTACAACAAGAACCACAATTCCAGTTCTCGCACCTAACCTTTCACCAAGAACCAAATTCCAGTTCTTCGACAACCTCTACAACCAAATTCCAACTAGCAGAGAAACCAAGTGGCCACAATTCCAGGCACCAAACAATACAAAAAGAATGTAAAGAATTGAAAAGAAGAAACTAGAATGCTCAAACCAGCTTTTATGCAATTCGCAGTGTGTTTCTTCTCTAAAAGAAAGCGAGTTTGCCTCAAGAAAGAATTTCAAAGAACTTCACAAAAACCGTACGCGAATCTTTCTTGAAAGAGTGCTAAAGCTTGCTTGCTTGATTGCTAAAGATTGATGTTCAATGTGTGTTTTTAAAATGTTCAAGCCAAACTATTTTTATAGAAGATTTTCAAAACTGCTGGTTTAATCAATCTGTTAAAATAATCTTTTAATCTGTTAAAAGTCTAGTTTTAATTTGTTAAAACTTCTTTTAATCCATTAAAGCGTTCTTGATTATTTAACATATTTGTTTTAACTGATACGACAACGTTTATATCAATTAAAACTCTTTACAAAAATCTTCTAATTTGATTTAATCGATTGTTTCAGTGATTCAATCGATTAATATACTCGCAAAACTTTATTGTAAAATTTTCCAAGTGATTTTAATTGATAAAAATAAGTTTTAATCGATTAAAACTCGTGTAGAAATTTTCTAAGTTGTTTTAATCGATTGAAACGTGTTTTAATCGATTGAAAAAGCTCGATCGGTCATAACTCAATTCGATCGATCATATCTAATTCTGATCGGTCATAATTGCATTCTGATCGATCATCCTGAACACTAAGTGGTTTTAATCGATTAAAACCAAGTTGTATCAATTAAAATACTGCAAAAACACTTCTCTTAACATTTTAAGTGATTTTAATCGGTTATTTCGAAGCTTTATCGGTTAAAACACCTGACGTAAGGTTTTCAAAACTTTCTTTAATGAAAACAACCGGTTATTTCGAAATTATATCAGTTAAAAACTTGTTTAAGAAAGCTTTTGTTAAAGTACTTTGTTTTTAACTGCTTAAACGTTTTTATAGGCATTTTGAAAAATCTTTTAAGTGAAGAAACCTCATGCAGCAGAAAAGATAAAAATGATTATACCTAAGCATAGTTGCGGATACACTAATCCCTCTACTCTTTTATCAAAGTGACTGTTGACCGCTACAAAGTTGACTTTGACTTTATCTTTGACTTCATCAAATTAACAAGATCTTTGCCAGAGTATTTCAATAAGATCTTCATCACTTTCAGTCTCCCCCTATTTGATGAAGACAAACACCACTTTGAAAAATAACTCTGCAAGAGAAGTCACTTGATAATACAGTTTAGTGAGTAATAAAGAAATGAATTTTTTTTCTATTTCTCCCCCTAAATTGTTGCTTCCTAAATAAAGAATTATTTCTGATCAAAAGTAAAGCAACTAAAGCAACTATTCTCCCCCTTTTGACTTCATCAAAAAAAAAAAAAGGGAATAGAAGAGAAATAATGCAAATGTATGTAATAAGTTTGAGATATTGAAAATTGAGAAAAAATGAATACGATATCTTACTCATGTAAAGATCAATCAAAGTTGATTCAAACTTATCTTCATTAACACGTTTGTAATGAATACAATTAACACGTGTAAAGATAAGGGAATCACGCTTTAGTAGCATGTTACAAGAACAACCATTAACTAAAGCCTTTAATTTTTCTTTCCAGAGTAAAAATCGATTAAAAATAGGACAAAATCGATTAAAAAAGTTCTTGTTTAATGATTTTAATCGATTGAAATAAAGGTTTAATCGATTAAAATAGTGAAGGACTTCAAAATATGAAACATAAGTGCATTTAATCGATTAATTCGATATTTGACCGATTAAAACAGTAAAGAAAAATGCTGTATAAATTCTTTTAATCGATTTAAAAGATTTTTTTATTGATTAAAACAACCAATTTTGCAAACTAAGGAATGTTTAATGCATCTAAAATGCCTAATTCAGTGCGAATTTTGAAAAACCGATCACGAGCAAGAGGTTTTGTAAAAATATCTGCTAGTTGTTTTTCAGTTTCTATAAAGAAGATTTCGCAATCACCTTTCAAAACATGATCTCTAATGAAATGATGTCTTATTTCTATATGCTTTGTCCTAAAATGTTGGATTGGATTTTTAGTTAACATAATAGCACTAGTATTATCACACAAGAGAGGAATTTTTCTGAGAATTAAACCATAATCCTCAAGTTGTTGTTTGATCCAAAGAGATTGAGCACAACAACTCCCAGCTGCAATGTATTCTGCTTCAGCTGTAGAAAGAGCAACACATGACTGCTTTTTACTGTGCCATGAAATTAGACTACTTCCAAGGAAATGACAGGTGCCATCTGGTGCTTTTCCTATCAAGCTTACAACCTGCAAAATCCGAGTCGAGTATCCAACTAGATTTAGTTTTGACTCACCTGGATACCATAACCCAACATTTAAGGTTCCTTTAAGATATTTGAGGATCCTTTTTGCAGCGATAAGATGAGACTCTTTTGGTGCAGATTGGAACCTGGCACACATACAAACACTAAACATGATGTCAGGTCTACTTGCTGTTAAATATAGCAAAGAACCAATAAGCCCTCTATATTTAGTTTCATCAACAGATTT